GACTCCCTTGTCTTTGTCGGTAATATCATTCTGCCTATATCATGCGCCGCTGTGCGGCTGCTGGCTGGGCTCGAGAGCGAGTCCATAAGGCACAACGGAACGAGTAAGTTCCGTAGGAACGATAGGTGAGCGCCCCCTACCATCATATATATATATATATATATATATGTTGTACGGTTCAGTTATCCACAAGATCTAGGCACACACGCGTGGGCTTTTACGAAGTTACTGTTTTATTTATCATGCTGTCAGATGTATCAGTTCGTCTGTCCCACAAGCAGGCCTCTCCCAGACTTGCATACTTTGAATTAAATTGTCTTTGCTGTTCTCATTCAAAGCAAGTAAGGTTGAGCGAAGTTTTTTTTTCAAAATACCAGATCTTTGCAACTTGGCTGAACAATGCGGTCGCTAGCCTGCCAGTGAGTCGGGCTGACGGGCTTGTTCAGGCCACGGATGAACAGATTTCCGATTTCAAGCAGGCTATCATGAAGTGAGTTTCTTCGATCTTAGCTTTTACCGTTTACGGTTATCTGTGTGCTTTGCGGTCTTTTTGTACCACAGCCACTATGCAGCTTCCATTCATTCCGAAACTTGTGTGGACATTCAGCGGCAAACAGGAGGTAGATCGTTGTTTACATACGAGATGCACAGTTGCATAGATGATGTCCGCTCCTTGCAGTGGCCAACAGGGTGATCTGCCAAAGTCCTGCTCTACGCGGTCTTTGGGCAATCATTTGCCTCTTATTCGGAAAAAAGTTACGAGTACAGTCGACCGGATTAGCTGCCTCAGAAGGCACTGTAGGGTGGAAGATTAACTTAAGCTGGCTAGCCTGGTTGTGATTGAAACCGTGACAAACATAACTAACTCTTGCGCTCAAAAGTTTACGGCAGGATTTTCTTTTGTGTGTCTCCGTCTGATTTCAGACTCTGGTTAAGATGTGTTAAACATCATTAAGGCATGGCCAGAACTACCTTTTACTGCTAGGAAGTGACGTACAACGATCAATACACTAAAAAGCATGGCCTAAAAGTTTGCCAATTGAAAAGTCCTGCAGAGTAAGGGTCAGGCTGAAACAGCTGTGGCCTTATGACGGTTGTCCTTAATATGAGCTTCGTGTTATTGGAACCGGTTTCTTTTAAAATAATGGACTAGAGCTTGTATGACACCCAAGCAAAACTTTTTGTCAGGTCCGTCACTGCCCATGCGCATCAGCCCTCGTGTTGTCACCGCAAATAATCATAACTAATCGAACTCGCGGATAAATTTCTACTTCTGTTCCTGCAGTAATAGCCGTCGTCGGTCGCAGGGGACAAACTACTGGGAGCCCAATTTATGTTTTTTCTTGGGACACACTCCCATCGCCTCAAGTACTTAGACACGCCCCACAGGGTGCTGCAATTCATGCTGCGGAACCTAGCCGAACTAACGCATTTCTGCTTTCGTGGCGATTATGCATTCCAGGCTGTACTACTAAATAAGTGGACGTCCGGCTCCGTGGCCGACCTTGAAGGCATACCTATTCGAACTTAGGGACTAGCTCCATCACGTCTATCGAGACTCAAACACCACGCCGTACCACATACTACCTCGGTCATAGCGACACCGGACCACTTGGACCAGCATTGTTCTGCCAGTTAAACTGAGCTGAGAACGTGTTGTTATCAGGAATTGCTGCCACTGTAATAAGCTACGGACGCTTAACGGTTACAATTGTGAATACCATTTTTATTACCGCCTGTCAGTGGACAGTCAGCGTTAATTTCCGTGACAACCCGCAAAGCGTGTTCACGTGTCCAAGGGGTTAGAATATCTTGACAAATGTAATTTCCAGAGCATGACATATTTGCGCAAGTGTACTGCTGAAAACTGATACGCGGACAGCCAATTGGTGTCTCTCGTGTGAGGCAAACCAGAGCTTGCTTTAAATGGGTTATAATTCCGACACGTTCCGAGAAGCTCTGTTGTTGCGGCGTCTCAATGGCTCCCTCGAATTTGTCAGTCCTGCCAGTCTGAATCGGGATGTTTGATTTGCCTATCTCAAACCTGTTGGGACAAACCGTTTCGACCTTAAGCACCGTCGAAGCAAGCATCGGACAATAGTGGAGCGTCACCTTCGAAATTTGAAGTAGAACTGGTGGACTAACGCTCAAAGTTAGGCGTGTGAAATCACAGGAAGCTACGTCTAGTGACGTTAGTCCACGACATCTCCCTGCGCTGGAAACGAAGTGATCGTGAAGACATACGGTCCTGCGTCCGCTGTTTGCCTATTGCTACTGATCACCAGTTGTCATTTCTGGTGTCCTCCACAGCGTACTGCTATCAATGAAGTACACTGAACTCCCAGACTGAATCCGAACATCGACAAAACCTTTACATTTGGTTGCGCTCCCGCTAAGTCGTCCACCGTCTAACTCGGCTAGTACACAGTTTCGAGGATCTTGTTCTGTGAAGTCCTTCTAGCAGGCGGTGATATTCACGGCCTTTCGTCACTTCGACCCGTCATAAATTGCCTGAGCACCAAAGCCCCTGCCATTAACGTAATTCAGTTTGAATTAATAAATCAACCCAATCATCAAGTTCTTAGTTCTTGTGAACGCTGGAAGTGTGACAGTACTTCCCCTCCAATCCTGTCCACTCCATACCTGCTTTAAAGGTTTTTCGCTCGGGTTGTGTTAATTCGGTCCTTCTACACCCATTGTAGTGCCTCTCGCACGGCGGGAATCATCCATGCCTTGGATTGCTTCGTCCTCCTCTTCCGTTAGAATCAACTCGACAAAATTTTGCCTCAGCTGTTTTTACGGCACCAGATTAAACTCTAAAAAGTCAGACAAAGTTGGAATTTACTGTATTTGTATAAATTTTATGCTTGCTGAATTTTTTCCTTCCGCATTTGGTAAAAAACCCCTTCGCTTTTGCCTACTTGCTTATGTACACGGTCGGGAAAGGAAAATAACTCCCGTCGATTAAACCAGCGCTTTTCTTTTAACCAGGGCTAAGACCTTCCCATAAGATCGGATTCATGGGCAGTGTTGTTTTAACGCCGGACTTTGAATTTTTCTTTTCGTCACGCGTGCATATTTTGTTCCGCTCGAGGTTTAACTAAGCCTATAGATATTGCTTACATTGACCACGTTGTGTGATTTGTTCATTTTCACAGCTCCTGTAATACAGTAGAGTAGATGACATCCTCGCCCAGTTATGTTTTTTCGCGGACTTTCAATTAGAAAAAGATTATCGGTAACTGCACTCGTGGCGAGACCCACAATTACTTTGGGGTTTGATTCTATGTTGCTGAGTTAACGGAATCACGGAGATTGTCGTTCATTGCAGCTAACCAACAACACGCCAGACCGAAGTCGTCCGGATCGCGCCAGACACTGGGCCAACAGTGTGTTTAGGCCCAGCTTTCACCCTGTTCGCCCACGTTTTTAGTGGACGACCTGTATTCCACCTACCAGCCAGGGTCGGGTTCAAGCGAGAGGACAGCTCTGACGATTGCGGCTTCAGTTTGGTGCAGCACGTGATTCAACTACCTACATAGAACGAGGGAGGAAGGGTGTAGCTGAGCTGTGTTCCTGATCTATTTTATAGTTATTCGAGGACTGGAGCTGGCGGGGCACTGAGTGCTTTCAGGCAATGGATATTTTTCGAGCTTGCAGGCGATATCTCAAATTTGCGAGCGTTTTCTTGACGGAAACCTCCCTTACTGTCAGCTTGGTCTGCGGACTTCAGAGGTTTCGAAGGAGTCGAAAGAATGCGTGCACGTCTGTTTGGCGTGGTGGTCGGTTCCGCCGCGTTTGATAGAACGTCAGCCCGGACCAGCGGAATCCGTCCATTAGTCTAAATTCTACCCCTTGTGACTAGGAAGATATCTCCGATCGCGAAATCCGAGGCGATCAAATTGGTCTTTTATTCGTCCTAGCTAATTAAAGTAGACACACAGTACTTGCTGAATGAATTTCATCCAGAGACATTCGAAGCGAGCACATCGCCCATACGTTCAGAAGAGCTCGAACTCGGCGGCCCAGCTACGTCTTCGCTCTACTTGCCTTTTTCAATGTCAGATTTTCCCAGCTCTATTAACGAAAGGAGACGCTTCAATTAAAGAGCGATGTCTACTCCCTGATAGGCTTTGTAGCAGATCTTCAAGTTACGGACTCAGACTGTCCCCAATCTCCTCGGTAGTCTCATGATTCGCATGTACATCTGAACGGTACCACACGGTCTTTTTATTATCGCAGAAAACACCCACGCGTGCGACTAGAAGTAATGAATGCAGCTAATATTCTTGCAATGGCCCCGAAATACACCCATAATCCCCTGGTATGACTCAAAAAGGTGTCAGAACCGCAATCGTTACCGGTTTGACATCGAAACCTTCGGGCTACACCATTCATTTGTAACAATTCCTAGCGTCTTAGTCTAGCTTAGATACACTCCAATCCTCGGCTCGACGCGCAAGTCTCAAATTATTCAGCTCCGCATACTTTGAGAGCTGGTGATCTTATTTCCAAAGACAAACCTTCATTTGCCTGCCGATCATCCTGTATTCCGCCATGAATGTCCGACTAGAGCTCTTGAACTGCGATTCATGCAGTGTTTTAAAATCCTGTTTCGAAGTGCTGTCTCATTTCGCATGAAGAGCGGCAAGTGTCATACCATTTTCGGCCGGTAATACTTGTCGATATAGGGCGACGCGACAGCGCCAGCTGATGCAATGGGGTGAACGGGTTGGCGATAGCTACTCGGAGTTGTCGACGTCTTGCACTGAAGCATCGGTTTCAGATACGCACGGACAAACCGTCGGTCACGAATTAATCAAACTGGCTTCTACAAGTCGTACCGGCAGCTGTTATTAGGCAAGTTCGCATCAAGAGAACAGAGCCGGAGAATTAGTCCATGAAACCAGTTGATTTTACCAAGATCAGGAAGTTGAGAGAATAAAGCGGAGTAGAAAACTATGTATTTAATAAAAAAAAACGGCGACGGTATTTACAAATCACTGCTTTTTTGGCCTGAGTAGTGTGAGAATGCGGTAGTTCTGCAGCGCGACAAGCCATAAAGTGATGTACGGGCGCTTTGGATCAACGTAGGAAGTAGGGATGCCCAGTGAGCTGCGGACCCTTGGCGACAGGTGGAAAAGATTGATAAATAGCTGATGGACCGAGGATGTACACCAGAAAATCGTGAGTGCCTGAAATGTGGAAGGCTCGACAGATAAGCGAACCACCAAAAACAACCACATCACGAGAATGCTAAATCGCGCAAGCTGACCCTCGAGATATTGAGCGAGTATAAATTGCTTCATGTCATAAAAAAACAGTGCATCATTGAGATGGGGACCGTGCAAAATCTAGCGAACACAGGGGACCAGCGCCCGTGTGGAGGTCTCACGAAGGGTATGTTGAAACTGAATCAGCACATCCCTTGGCCGTGGAGAATTAGAGGAAGAGCGGGACCTATGTCTGGGCTATTCAACATTACATCCGTTCGACTAAGAAATACTACGAAAATGGAACAGGTCTTTGCCCTCCGGGAAAGTGGTAGAGGTCAGCGCGGCGAGCGGCTACCTGGTGGTTTAAAACTGCCCACAGCGCAAGTACTCGTTACTTCTGCACTCGGGCTGCAAGTATGATGTGCGTTCATTCAATGCACGCTATCGCACATCGACGACTTATGTAGCAAGTCATACTACTTGTATTTGTTAGCATCAGCGTTGGCTTGCCCGGCTCTAGCATCCACTGCATCACCGACCAGTGAGAGCCATGTCCAGCGGCCTCTGGATAAATCCTCAGAGATGATTGACCGGCTTGCGTCCCGATCTGGCGGCTGAAGACAGCTGAGCTCCTTTTCGAATCGCCAGAGTGCGCGACCAAACAGTCTGGCGTAGCAGCCGTTTAGTGAAACACCAGCGAGAAGCGTTCCTGGTCAGCAAAGGAATTCAGAATTCGAATCCTAGAGGCATCAGCTACCCAACATATCGACTGTCCCCAGATCAGTGGCCACGTTTCGCAGTTAGAGAGTAGGACATAACCTTGCGCACACTAAAAACCCCGTCGAGTATGCACGGACCAAATATCCACTTCAGCAGCTTCTGGAGTTCCGCCATGGCTACCAGTGACCGACAGTCGTCCACTTTGTTGACGTTGCCGCTGCGTTGGGTTCCATCCATAGTGAGTCACTGACGAATGATGGAACTAGATGGTGTGCCGGCATAAATCGTCACAATCAAGGCCTACTATCGCTCCGCCTCCGCGCGCGTTCTAGTTCATAACAATCTCTCCCAATAGTTCGATATCCAATCTTGCGTTCGACAAGGTTGCATTCCATGAGCCATTCTGTTCAACTACGCCATTGGTCAGATTCCCAGAAGGATCTTACACGGTTTTTACGATGCTGAGTTTGCATGAGGACGCCGGCTGACTGATCTCGACTACGCTGGCATCGCCTTGATAGCCTCAAGTTTTAGTGATCTACAGTATGTGATATTATGAGTGAACGATGTAAATACTTCGGTCGGTTTACCCATAAACGCTGAATCCTTGACCAGGAACAAGTATCTCTCGGGATAAATGACTGCCAATTTGAAGTAGGCAAGTTCAAAGACCTTGGGGCTACGCCGCTGTCTAATGGGCAGGGTAAAGACGACAATGTCCCCCGAATCGATGCTGCTCACAGGATTTTCTCGATCCGTAGGAAGTGTCTATGAACCCGACGCGACATCATCGCCACGAAGATCCGCGAGTACAGTGCATCCGTCTGGTCAGTCCTCCGGTAAGGCTGTGAATGCTGAGTTGTGCGCGTGAAAACTGGAGGTATTTGACGACCGCTGCTTGAGGCTTATCCTTCGAGTGCAGTAAACCAAATCAAACGTGACAGTCGCACCCGCCCCCGACACCGCGAGGACGTCTCATGTCAGCTAAGACGAGTTAGCTGGTTTGGGTACGTCCTGCCTCGTCCGCCTTACCAGCTCAGTGTTGTCCTCAATTCAGCGCCGTTGCCAACCTGAAGGTATCAAAAAGGAGGCCAACTCGAAACCTGACTCGACACAGTTCGTTAAGACAGTGACACGGTTCTTGAGGCTTCGTATTCAGTCTACGTATCGGGAGAAGAGAATGGGTCGAGCTGTTCAGATCCGCTGTCGCAAATTGCTACTCGTGGAGAGTTGCAATCCATGACATCGGGGCCGGCTAGATCAGGCATTATAAGAGCTGTACCGAGTACAATATACGCGGCAGTCGGTGGCAGAGAGGACCCAAGGTAAACAAAGTGTTCTGCTGCATCAGACCTCTCTTAGCCCAGGAGAAGACAGTGACGAGCGAGGCCGTCGATGATTACTTTCATTTCCCGGTGTTTCAGCCTAAGATCAAATATGCGTGACGTGGGGACTGTTCAATCAAGCGTAGATTGGATCCCCTTAAAAAGACTTCCAAACGAGGCGATGCTAGTATCATTAAGGTCGGTGAGGAGGTTCCGACCTAGTTAAACGCCCAAGTTGCTCTAGTGCTGTGGACAAAGCCGAGTCAACCGCATAGTTAAACGAAGTGGTGAGAAGACACACCACTATCGGACGTCTGAGTCGATAGCGAAGCACTCGCCTACTCCTTTGTAAGCTCGAACTTTTGTGAACATGGATTTCTGATATATCTTGATCACGTTCGTGAGTATCGGAGGCATATGATCAACTTCGCTTCGGTTGGCAGTAGGACGGAAAGAAGATAAAGTCACTGATCTAGGATGCACTGAGTCGCGAAAATCACTCCACACTTCCTGGGCTCTGCACCACAGGCTGAGAGTGAATGTTTCAGAGGTATACTGATGATCTTTGCGGCATCGTCAAATTAACGGGTGTCCTGTTTCGTTTCTTGAGGAAGGGAAGCAGAGCGGCATTGCCGTAGTATAGTGGGAAAAATTCCCCTCGCTACATATACCATAAAATCTTTAGCTGCCTATAGACTGCAAGAAGAGCCCTTGTGGACATCGTCGAGACGTCCGCCTTAACTAGTGGATCCGCTATTTTGAAGAGGTTGTATAACCACTGAAATGTAAACATCAGAGTTGTCATGGAGGTTTTGCGGGAAGGACTGTGGTAGGTCGTGCTGGGTGCCTGCAGGAATGGCAGGTTGGGTGATTAGGAAAAAAAACGTTTTTGCCAGCGTGTTAACCGCTCATTCAGTAACTTATTAAGGTGGTCTTCCTTAGTTACAATCCTGCTGGCATAGATGTCAATCGACGAATGTCAAAAAAGTTGGTGGAATATCCAACGTTGTCTATGGTGTAGCCTCCCATTGACCGTGTCGTCTGACAACGCTGTGCTCTCAAGTGTGGGTCGCCGGTTCTCCTGGTGTTCAGCGCAACAACCGCCAATTTAGTGGTGTTACCGACATTCTTCAGGGTGTCACTTGCTGCGGTCTGAATGCATAAACTGGGGTCTCGGCAATGTCGCCTTTGGGAAAGCCGCACTCCTCACTCGCCCTGAATAACGGAGTGTCACAATGTTCCAGCAACGCTGAGCGGCCAGCAGCATTTCGGTGCGGCAACTTGACAAGCCCGTTTTTGGTAGAAGCAGCTGAAGGCCCAGCTTTAGCAGCAGAGCGCTCTCCTCGAGCGTCTTCAGACAAATGTGCAAGCGTGCTCCCACCAGCATGCATTCTGAGTTATGTTCACTCCCGCCCTCACGGTTGAGGATCTAGCCTGCCTATCGCCTGTCTACAAGAACACAACCACTCTGCGCGGCAGTCTTCCCATCAGTTTGGGTACCAGGTCAACAGGGGACTTTCTTCTGTGCTGACACCTGGTGTTGGCCACCTGTCTTAGTTAGAAAGTAGTCACAAGGGTTATCGATGGCAAACTTTACGGAGACGTGGTGCATACTTGCTTCAGTTTTACCAGCGTGAGCATCCCGATTTCCAATCTGTGGTGTAGTCTTCTAACACTCATCCTCTTTGGGTGTTGGAATATAGAGGACAAGCAGACTTGCACTGCAAATTGGGCCTTCCGGGTGTCTGTAGGTGATGCGATGAGACGAGTTGCCCTGGTAAGTTAGCGCTTGGCTCATTAAAGCGGCGTCATGTCCGCTGCAGTTATCATGCACGTCACTGTACTGACTTCTGCAGTCCATCCGATGCGAGCACTTCGATTATCCCCGTAGTGGACTCGAGTAACCGGACTCACGACAAGCACGCAATATTGACGTTGTAGGTAGAGGGGGAGTGCGTACCGTAGGGGATTTTGTGTCTGAGTATTTGAAAGTGCGCACATCCAGCAAATTTTCTCCACAAAGAATGCCATTTCGCATAGGTGAAAGCCGGCCCATCGATGAAACGTCCGGATGCGTCGTTTTTCCAGGACGCCATAGTAGGGGTGCAGATTAGTAGATTGTGTGGGTTCTTGGAGATTTGCGGGCACATGATTCAGGTGAACCACAATTTTGTGTAGCCTATGAGTGGAATCCCACGCCGTAAAACAAAGGTGGGGGTAATTCCTTATTGGATGGCGGACAAAATTTACCGTGTCATAACGCCCCTAAGGCGTGTGACCCATTAACAGGTACCCGATTCCCCAAAATCGCTGCCCAGCCACGCGCACACAACTCCACGATCCTAGCAAATGCCTCAAAAATTCAGAAAAGCTGCATCTCAATATAAGACTTTTACAACAAACGACCGGTCCTACCGAACACTATTGCCTTCACCACTTTTAAGGCCTGACCAGAGATAAAGCTGACGGTACATAACTGACAAGTCACTGATTCCATCAGATGGGGAGAGGTGTTTCGAAGGCAGACTTTGGCTTAGATCTAGAGGCGAAACAAAAGTGAGTACAGAATGCCTTTTCCACATCAGACTAAGGCAACATACGAACCCTTCATTCACATGCGTCTGAGCACCAAAATGAAGACGCAGACTTGAAACCGCCGAAAAAACAAACGCTGAATGCACAAGACGAATCGTGGGAAGAAAATTTGGCCTGGGGAGTTGCGTGTAAGGAATAGGACGTTCGTGGATGGTCCGAGTGGCAGTACACTTCTGTGTACGCCACGTTCTCTTTGTCACTTACTTCTTGGATTCAGTTATTGCAGTTTTGTTCGTACTAACCTACGAAAGCTTATTGCATGTTACATGCGATGAAATATGTAAGTCTGTTAGTATGTACGGCTTCTGGTTGGCAGCTGTTGGCCAAAGCGCAGAACAGGCATGCAGAGGCCGGTGCAGCCCTGCATTCAGCCACTCACTGTGTTGGGAAAATACCAGTTACACGGTGAACAGACAATTAATTTGAGCAATTAATATTGCTAATATGCCACCGCATTAGCACGAACTTGTGTCTAAACTCGCAATCAGCGGTTCAGAGAGTCTCGACTGTCCGACAGGGAGGTTGAATGGTTCTGAGTCGCTGAGAAGTCGCGCAATTTGTTTTGTGAGCAGAGCTCAGAAACATGCGCACGGACATAATCAACCTTTGGGCCTTGAAGAAGGATAAGTACAGCTTGATTCCTGGTTGTCGCTGTAAGCATACAATGTGGAAACTTGTACAAGTAAACCTACTACGTGAAGGCCCATGTTTCCTGGTTTCCATGCCTAGAATACACCCCCCCCACCCCGGAGTTTCTCCAAAATGATAAAACGATAAAAGGGGAAACCGTGGAAGCCAACACGAACCGAGGGAGCCATTAAAGACACGACCGAGACGAGAAGACTGCCAAAGATTCCAAGACCATGTACGAAGTGGAGTTGCCATGACTGTCGGACAGGAAACAGCACGACGGGTAGGGACTGTGCGGGTGAGTCAACTTGAGACAAAAATTCGGGATTCTTAGTTGCATACTCCACGGCCGAAATCATGTAAAGACGACGCAGGTGTGCCAGTTCTGCATTCGCAAGGTTAGCGACTGTGAGTAGAGCCACCAGAGCTAGTGAATGAGTCGGAGAGGCGAGACCGTTGGCGAGGAATTCCGGGATCATTGGTGGCCAATCTAGGTGGCAAGGAAAGGATGAGTTGTCACTTGCAGACGACTAATAACAAACATAAAAATGTTTAGTCGTCCACCACCTCACTCCTGACCCAAGTGTTTTTAAACGACATCTTAGCAAAACGCGAATTTTTCAGAGCAAACAAGTAAACAAAACAAGGTGAAGACCTCAGGGACGGACACTGAAGGCGGTATCGCTCCTTACCTTAACGAGACAATCACACCATTAATAAAAACTCCCGACTAGATATAGATGGTCGAACATGAACACACTTGACCGGCCATCGAGGATTTAGGTCCGGCTGGTATGTCCAGACCGCCGTAGAACCGAGAGTTCACCCCTCGACAAACGGACACCAATCCGACTGCAATCTCGGATCGAACTAGCTCTGACCTCAATCACCTATAGAGCCGTAGGTCGACCAAGTAAGCAATATTAGAACTTGGCCGAAGGCGAAATGGAATACTAGGACAGCGACTTGTTGGAACTTATTCTGTGAATTACAGCAGGCATGACCAGACACCGTGTAGCTCAAGAAAATTGATACCGTCTCGTAGGTGATAATCAGGTATGCGTAACATTGGGCTTCGAAGCAGAACATCCAACGATAAACGTGTGGATTAGAGGTCAAAAGAAAGGTTCTCAAAACAAAGCTCGATCAAACTATTACTTGGTGAAATGTTTACCAGGTTTTCGACACTCGAAACGGAATTGCTATAAAATTTGCTACAGAATATCTTTGGTCGGAGGTGGTAAGTTTATTGGGGAATTTATGCTTTTGCCGGCAAATAGTTGGCTTACATAAGGCTTTCATCCGGAACAGGACTCGAGAACTTTTAACCCTCTGCGGACAAAAATAATGCCGTTAAGTAGTCAGTGCGGCTGATGCAGTGGATGCCCCGTACATTGTGCCTAACGATGGAGCGGCAAAATCACGGCCTAGACAAAGCGTGGCAGGTGGGGCTGGCTTGATGGCAGCTGGTCGGGCCTTCTGGTGGTGTTTCGCCAGTCGTGTTGCAATGGATCTGCCAATGTCTGAAAAGGCCGGTGTGATTATAAAGTGCGGTCGCAGTCTAGACAGGTTGACAGTGGGCTGTCGCTGCCGATGTTTGTCCTCGTCTCCTGTCGTCTTCCACGTTATGGGGGCTTCAAGTGTCCGAAAACGCCTAGTCGTGGCAATGTTGGGTGTGGAAAGAGTTTCCGCAACGACGGTGATTTTGGTTGGTTGCTCATACTACCATTGTGGTGGACGTGAATGTGTCCAATGATAACTATTCGGTTCCAGCACTGTCGTTTAAGGTGGCTGAGTGAGGTCCTCAATGTGTTCCTGTGGCAGAAGCTTTGCTTGCCCTGTCTGAGAGCGCCCATACAGTCATGCCCACTAGAGAATGTTTCAGTAGGCGCTCATCAGTAGTCCTCGTGATGTGGTGACTTCGCAGAAATTGGGCCCGCCTTGACGCAGTAAAATTGTTAAGCAAGCCAATCAATTGTAGGACTTGGGTTTTTCGAAGTTGCATCACCAGAAAACAGCTCAGATGGAAGTGAATTCTTGTTTCGTTTTGATACACTGCCCAAATTCTGGCCCCATAACGGGGCGTTTTCCGGACAGCGCTTCTGTATCGTCGTAGCTCCGTGCCAACAAAGACGCCAGAGCGATTCCAAACCTAATAAGTCTTCCTCGTGACAAAGGAGTGTGTGGGGGCCATGTGATCGGTTAAAGTTAACTTGACTTTTGATTATCGGGCCTCCTGGTAGCGGTCCTTCAATAATGTAGACATTTATTTGTAGGTGTAGGACCAGACCATTGATTTTATTATTGTTGACAGGCAACCACCTCTACGCGTGGAGGTCACCTGGGTGGACGACGAGCAAGCGAGGCAGAACCAGTATCGAGTTGGTGGCAGGCGGCCCAGATGCGACCTTATTGGGAGGGAGTAGAACGAGTGAGACCAAATTTCTTAGTTCTCTCCACTGCATCCCGCCTCGGGATACAGGCATCGCACAGGCAGGCAAACTGGCGCAGTCTGCTTGTTGTTAGCATTTCATAGCTTGACTGACTGGTTACATAGGTAGCAGAGGGGAGAGTTCGTAGCACACGCAGCGGCGGTTCTGAAGGGGTCTGACCAGGGAGAGGGAGAAATGAAATGTGCGACCACGGTGATGGTAGGTAAAGAGGACACTTTTGGGTTGACGGAGGCATGCTGGAAGAGCATGGGCATTGTCGCCATGATTGTTGTTTAGTTGTCGTCGCCTGCATTTGGTCGGTTTCAGAAATGACATCTAACTCTTGGGTGCCTACCCAGATAAGCTAAAGCGACCTGCCAGAATGGGTGCGCCTTGCCAGCGAACCCGTCACTGCGTGGATGTACATCCCTTATGAACCTGAACAATATATTAACTCGCGGGTAACAGCGGTTAACCGTCGGCTCCATCCCTCAAGAAGTAATGGTCACATTATTCCCGTTAGGGGCGGAAAACGTATGCATGCACGAGATGCCTACAATATAGATTGCATGTCACAGCGTCGATACTTTCCCGTCAACATTTTCACCACCTAAGACTCGCATTTGTCTCAAACTTTTGTTTAATTTGCGCTCGACAAGAAACGGTTATGTTCGGTTGCGTTGACGTTTTCCTATTCAAAACAACTAGGTGGGAGATCCAGTCTCTCATCTAGAAATACATAGACGCGTGATGGAGCGTGGGCAGAGATGGAAACATGGGTGTCTTCACGCCGAAACACAAAGGGCAGTATCTTCGAGAGCTGACGGAATGTGTTATCAAGATTAAGTTAAATCGGACGCTCTTCTCTTAGTTATGTAGTAAAAAAGGTAGAGTGCGCAAACTTAGTCCATGTGCTAAAGCAATCTTATATGTGCAATCAAACGGTGGGGTGGATATAAAATAGGTCTGCGATGCTACTGTCGGGACATAAAATACTCATTCCAACCACGCCCTGTAGTCAAACCGTGAACCGCGCGGCGCTGGTAAGACAAGCCCGCAGCAGTCAAAATATACACCGGCAAGGACAAAATGCTTTAAGTGGAAACAGGCAGCATGGAACTCCAATTAAACTTAAAACGTTCGGTCGGGTACGGAGACAGACCTATAAATCTAGTAAACTATAATGGGCGAAGAGTGGTCAAAAGGGCGAAGATTTTTGAGAAGAGTCTACTTGTGTTCATCCTCGATGTGCCATTTTTAGGACTAAGTAGCCTTTAGACAACTTAAAAGACACAAAGTGAGGGACAGAAATTTTCGAGGTAGGTGGCGGTGGCAGACAAAGAGTAAATCAAGTGCCCCACTTAGTGCAGAACAAATAAACTTGCATATGAATGGAGAGACCCAAAGGCCACAGGCATTTCGTAGTCCACAAGTCAGAGTGATCCAAAGTGGCAACTGAATGAGACCAAAGGCGGCCGACTTTAGAGGGTGACAGCCCTCTGAATGGCATCGTTTCATAAAATCTACACGAAACTAAGCAAAGGACCAATTATAAGAAAAAATCTACCGATGGCCGTAGAACTGAATGCGAAATGTTATCTGAACGTTTGACTTGGGCAGCAATGACTGTCAAGAGTGATTTTGACACGAGAGCTTGATTTTTTTCGGTGTAAGTGTAGAGGGGAAGTGCAACGGCACTGCGTAGTAGTAGGGTAGAAAGGATGATTGAAGAGGTCCATGTCTGACCAGTGAAGCTGTGAAAAATTTTTAAACCTTCGGTCACTGCTAGCATATGGTAGTGCGAGGGACTGAAGAGCTCCGTGAAAAAGATGTTGACCGAACTGAAATTCCGTCTTAGAGTGCCGCTTGAAATGTAACATAATCTTCGTTGCAAGGATAAATTCATTTCCCCCGGAGCTGAATCGACGAACGCTTCTGAATCAATGTAGTCAACAATTTCTGCCCTATAAAAGGAAAATACGGTTTTGTTTACCGATATTTCTCAGCACAAAATTTGTAGCGCCGTTGTAAATTCGTTCTAGACAAACCTTAGAAAATGTTATGCTGAATGAATGCCTCCGGGGTGGAACATAGGAATAGCCCGAGAGGCAATACTTTTGCATATTCAGTGAATCGTGGCTACCTCCAGAAATGGTTAAAAAATAAATTAATGGGGTTGAACGATAATTATGCTCCAATTTTAGGAGGAAGAAAGTACTGGGGAGTGTCCACTAAGTAAGAAAAGGTTAACGACTAAAGGGAAAGCCTTTTTGACGTATTCCTTCGTCGTTAACGTGAACTACGAGGACTAAGTGAATAAACTCCAATAAACCATACGAAAACCTCCAAAGCTCTGGAAACTAGTGTCTATAGATGATTGAGAAGGATGAACGGTATAAAAGAGATGGGACTTATGTGACTGGATATTCTTGTAATTCGGGTGCTGCCGGGGACAAACTTTGAGATTTTTCATACATGATTATGATGACCGCGACTGGTGGACTTTAACGCTGGTAGCAAAAAGGATGGACATGTGGCTTAAAGCGAACGCCCTGCAGGTAGAGAATTAATAGAAAAGAGTCGGTGGCAGGAACCCCTAAGCATGCCGTCAGGTTCGCGGCAAATGTATTCAAAGACAATCTACCCCAAAAGCCCAGAACTCAGTGGACATCGTATTGCCTCGAATAACACTAAAAGTCTCAACGGACGGCTGATATATCAACAGACAGATGAAAAATCTAGTGGGGGCGAGAGCTCGGGTTCCGTGTGTATGTATAAGTAAGGAAGAAGCCTGATCAAGCACCAGAACTAGCGAAAGGTATTCGTGGGTTTAGCTAAAATAAGCTATAATCTAGCATTGGTTGGAGATCTACACAGGCCCATCAGCGGCACCTGTATGTGTGGAGGTGTAGGACTGCTTAACAAAAAGTGGGGCAGGCGTGACTAAAGAGCATCAGAAGTAGTTCCACATCTTGGCAGGCAAAAAAACACTTGTAGAATAGTCAATTTCTTGCATAAGAAGACAGGAGAAAATTTAATACACTCCACTTTTTCGCGAGTCTTCGTTATATATATTTTATAAAGAAAAATGGGCGCGCGTCAAGATGAAGGATAACTGCAATAAAAGAGGTATAAAATATGCTGTATACTTTACAGTGTATATAATAAAATGTGCAGGGCGTCGTCAACAATATAACTAAACGACAGGGCCAAATCCTGGAAAGCGAATGTCATGAATGACAAATTCGCCTGCTGTTTAAACGGCAGTCAATACTTCGGTCTCATCTGAATGCTCCCATTTGTGAGCGCCAACGGAACCGTATGCGGCACTAAACCGATGTTAAATTTTCGCTCGGTAGTTCTCAATGGGTTAGTCGTAGGGCAAACGTCACTCTAGGACTCCCAATATCTAGGGATCTTCAAGGAGCCCGGTCGACCGGTTTCGGATCCGAAACCGCTGCAACACATTGGAGCATTATATTCGCACTTCTTAAAACGTGCTATAATTATAGCCTTCAACAGCCGCATGGGGGCCAGCGGAAACTACTTTCGAGCAGGCGATGACCTAAACGGCCAATAAGACGCAGTCAAACGCGCGCAGCAGTTGGCATAACCGGCAAACTCAATCTGTCTTGATTGGTACATCCCGCACTGCGTACATAAGCCCAATGTCTTAAGACAATAGTTTACTAAATCAACGAAAAACATGTCAGCGCATATTATTAAAGCACAATCCAATACCATCTATAAAATGGACGTGAACAACAACATACGGGAATTCCAGGCGGAAAGGGAGAACTGTTATTTGCACGTCAAGACCACTCAGCCATTCAAAATACAGATTGTAGGTCAATTGAAGGTCGATTAGGCTTGTACGGTGGATTCCAGATTGATTGTTTTGGAAAGTCCTCCTGGACAGTTAGCTTACCGCATAAGAATTAACCGAGGCTATGTAAGACTCCATAAGGGCAGGTTTATTCTAATAAGACGGAGAAATCGTAGGAGTTTGAGAGAGTGAAGGCATGAGCTGGATGGGCTTTTTCTTGACGTTTTGTGGATGAAAGTGCTAGATTATCGCCGGATTTGAAGCAAGACCCGGTGGATATTAGTCCTCCGACACCTAAAACGTAATCTTCGAGTGTCTCCTCTCTTTAGAGCCATGCGCACTCGTTGATTCTTCCTTTTCTTTCTCTTCCCTCCCCCAACTGTCCTAAAATACACTGCTCTCTTCTCTAGACCTCCTTCATTTATCCAGGATATATCCGTCCGTTGAGATACTGTCTGACTTGCGACACCGATAAAATTGAAAAACATCCCTCTGAAATAGATGAAACCAACCACTTCTTCACCCAACCCCATCAAGGCAACGGTCCCTGCGCCAGAGCCGACTTTTCGTATAGAGCAGTGGGGTAGTCGCCTACTACACCGATAGATTGCAAAAGATTGGGCGGGGAACATGATTCAAACAGGATTTAACTCACGGCTGTCGGTGGGGCATCCTAGCTCGAGGGGTTAGAACTTTGGCTATATGTAAACCATGCGCTAGCTTCCTTGGGTCTGAATCGCACCGTAACAATTAAATTTGTCACGACAGTGTCTAATGAATAAGAGAGTTTGTTTGGAATTTCGGCACGCAATCACGCAAAGTAGGAACAGTCACGATGAATTGCTTGCGATTGAGTTTATAGTGAGTGCGGACTTGCGCAGCATGTACCACACTCTCTCTTCCCCCGTATGAGCCCGGTTTCATGACAGGCAAGGAGGTGAGGGAGGGCACAGGTAGATGGCACAACCGGAATCTCATCTAGGCGTACCACTACACCCCTGGCTCATAGCAAACAGTTGACTAGGATTTTGACTAAAAACAAAATAATGAATCAGAAAGAGGAAGATAACTGGGCAACCATCCACTCGGGAACCAAGTGCCAGAGAATCGCATGCGCATACAGCTCTGCGTTGGCCAAAGTTTGCTGATATGGCATGGCAGGCGCACACAATCCTTAAGAACATCGAAATCTCACACCACTCGTTGTTTTCCCATCTCTGTCTAGAAGAAAATCATAGACAGAGTACTTTTGACTTGTACACTTGTAGGTTCGTGACAAAGTCGGTCAGCACGTGGGGCAGCAAGTCACTATTTTAAACTGCATGCAACAAACACTTTCAATTGTGATGGGTCTTGTTGTTGTTTTTTGCCGTTTTGCAGATGTTGTTGCAAACTCACGATGCCTAACGCTTTTACTATGCGCAGCTAACATTTCAGGACATCCCGCGCAGTCTTCGGCGTGGAACTTAGTCACATAATAGGTGGTTTATTGTCCTTTCGTTGTGCAAATTAATTGGTTGTCTACGCAGACCTTGTCTAATTAGACACCACTGACTGAGTAGTTAATTGAGTTGACTCCCTTTCACAGTCGTCGTTTTGCTCGTGAATCATTAACACAGCAGTTCAATGGAACTTGGACGCAGTAGCAGAGTTAGGTGTCTGATGATGAGCTCAGCCATACAGGGATTTCATGGTTTCACGGAGAGCCTGACAGAAACGACGTCCAACCAAAATTTCTATGTCAACGTCACATCGCAGAATGGGGAGACTCTGTGATAATTCCTACACCATAGCCTCACAAATTTCTTTCTTAATTTCTCAGTGCTGAGTACTCTGTCCGGAGTAAGTACTATTATCCTAATAAGCATTGAGCATATGCTGTTTTTTCTGCGGTATATGCTTCTCCTACGGCATTACGTCCCTCCTTCTGTAGGCTGTCACTTATGCTCCACTCATAACTGCCTGCGCTGCAGATGTGCTAGACCAACACGGGGGTCCATTTTTCTTAAGGCACGCGTTATTCGTGTGACGCAGAGTCCATGCGAGGCCATAATCACTGCCATACAGGAGAGGGATGTAAGATGACAGGCCTAGGCGTAGGGTCTCAAGCCGTGTCAACCAATGCGTCCAGCATCCCAGCATCGGACGATTGAGGACAGTCGACTAGTGCGTAAAAGAAGAAACAGAGGGAGGCCGCCACTGGACATCAATCATTACGGCACACCAGCACACTCCTTACTACAACAAACTGACCCCCGAGACTGCCATGGCGCACTAAAAGTCTTGCCTGGAGAGTTGGCAGATGGCGGGGTAGCTCGATCGTTCTCAAAAGCAAGAGTCAGGCTACGGTGGCTCTCTCGTACTGTGGCATCCACAGCACTCTCACTAGTGTGAGATCTGAACCCTCCCTCTCAAAAAAGTCTGACACATGGCATAGGAACCAGATCGCATGTGGCGCGCAGATGTTCTGTTTGCTTTGTCAGCCACTGCACGTACACCCATTTTAGTGTCTCCTTGACATTATCTTGCGCAGGTGGACAGGAAGGACAGCGTGCGTCAGATATTACACAAGTCTGCCTCAATATGAGCTAGTTCATGCGTGACTCGCCGTCTTACGCCCACCACGCTGTGGGGGGCATAATGGACGTCGCTAACGACGGTAGAAGAGTCGGGCTCGCAATAAATAACTTAGACATCTTGGGATAGTTAATCGCCCCGATTACTTCGTATGCAGCAATAAACATCGCAAATTGCTTACGCACACTAAGCAAATGCAAGGAAGGAGAGAAATCAGCGGAGTTTTCTACATCAAGTGAGAGGTGGTGAGCAAGATCGTCTATCAAGATGGCAGTGCGTCAGATCAGTAGCCGTAGTAGTTTCGACGTACGTGGCATGCGTGTATTTCGAGCTCCTGTCGGCCGTTCGACAACAACATAAAGCAGACCGGCTCTCATCAATTTTTTTAAAGAACCAGGCCGAGCGGCATACGGAAATGCTGAAGAAGCCGTCGAGGGTCCAGCTGGTTGGATTCATACTAACGAGCCTGGGCCAGAAGAAAATTACGATAGTACAGAATAGGTAAATATTCGGACTTATGTGCGTTGCCCCAAGTGTGTCAGATTTAAAATCTTGTTTCTGAGTGCGCTTAACAGCATTTCATTGCTTTTTCGCGAATCATTTAAGATTTTTCCTTGTGCTTCTAACGTAGGCTATCCACATTCTAAAAACCGTCAGTGGAAAGTGTCTGTTTTTAAAGACTTCTTGAAAAGGATTTAATTCATAAGTCCGTCCTTTCCATACGACTGGCTACATATTTATATGTTTTAGATAGGCATGCCGCGCTTCGTGTCCATCATGGTTAGGTGTTCAGAGTTAGTTTGGATTAACAGTTGGCGTCTGGATCTTACGGCTTTGGAAAGTATTTAAGGTTAAGGCTTAAGTTAGGGCCAGGGTTAGGTCTAGGTTTAGGGTTAAGATTAAATCACGTTTAAAGATTAGGACCACGTTTGTCTGCCTCACGCCGTTTTATCCAATCCGACCATAATTGACCAATAGGCCGAATATGCGCATTTTCCCGCCGTTTAATAAAACTCTTGCTCCAATGTAAACATGGCGTCCCCCACCCCCTAACTTGTTTCCTCCACAGCCGTTCTACCAATGTATTCCTCATGCTAATGTCTATAATGGATCAGTTAACTCATCCGATCCTCAGTTTCGTCCCGGCGGGAATACGTTGCAGTATCTGCCCCGCGGATTTCCAGCTGAAAATAAGTTAGCTAACAATGGTTTCCAGTTCACCTGCCTGTCATTCCCTCCCCCAAGTCCTACCTCTTTTTATCCACGTCAGAATTTTTCGATACCACAAAATTTTTTGCAGAACCGGATGGTTGCATCCGGACCATTTGCTCCGTGGGCAGCCCAGAACTGGGCGATGTAGTCCACATCCCTCAGAAACCAACAGCCTTTCCGTTCAAACTTTTTGTTTTAAATGCCAGATCCTTGGCTAATAAGATGCCTTTGCTTCAGACTCTGGTGTTCGTCCATTGTCCAGATATTGTTTTAGTAACTGTGACGTGGGCATCAGCCACAGTAGCTGACTCCGAACTCTCGCTTCTAGGCTATAATTGCTTTCGAAATGATCGCCAAGATAGCCGTGGTGGGGCAGCTGCGTCTACGTGAAGCAGACACTTACATTTTTGCCGTTGGACCTCCCGCATTTCTTCGCAGTAGAAGGCAGCTGCTGGCTCCAGGTTGCACTAAAAAATAAGTTCTCCTTACTCGTTGGCTGCGTCTATCGCCCTCCCAACCCCAACGACAATTTTGATCGTTTACTCTCACAGGCATTTAATGCTGCGAGCGACTCAAGCTTTAAGTATCTATTGGTTGCGGGTGACTTTAATCTCCCCGTAGTCCGCTGGTCTCCGACTTCAGGCCCCAGAAGGTTCGATGACTTTCTTGAGGCTGTGGATGTCGGGATGTGGAATCAGGTTGTCGATTTTCCCACCCGAGGCTCAAGCATATTTGACCTAATTTTCTGTAGAGACTGCATGCCATCGTCGGTGTCATCCCTAGGCCCACTCGGGGGCTCAGACCATGACATAGTTGTTTCAACGTTGGAAGTCGAGGCTGACAAAACGTCTTCCGCGATTTACGATCAACTCGCACAACCGAATTATTAACACACCACAATTCCTACGACTGGACTGATTTCTTCCTTATTTCGGGTGTACATGTTTGCAATGCAAATCTGTACGAAATTTCGGATCCGCTTATTTCTCTTTTTGTCCCCCGTAAGAAAATTATTAATGTTGGGGATGAAATTTTCCTACCCTTACCCTTTCGTCGCAGATTGCGCAGACTTTATCGTCGTTTCCATCTGCAGAACGATGTTTCTCTTCTGCCCTTGATTTGTGATATTTTTGATCGAGCTAACAGATTGTCTGAAGAAAAACAGCTTGCAGAAGAGGTCCATTTTACCGAAAACCATTCGTTAAATGTCTCGAAACTTTTCTCTAGAAAAATACGAACTCAGAGAAAGGCGCAGTATCCAATCCTTCGAGACGGTCTCCGAAATCCCATAGTTGATGCCCAGTTAACCGCGGATAGC